GTGAGTTCGAGCCCCACATCAGGCTCTGTGCTGACAGCTCGGAGCCTGGAGCCTGCTTTGGATTCTATGTCTCCATCTCTCTCTGCCCCTCGCCTGCTCACTCTCTGTCTCTCTCAAAAACCAATAAATAAACATTAAAAAATTAAAAAAAGATTAAGACTTGAAGGATGGAGCCAGCTGTGGGAGGAGCAGGCAGAACAGCTTTCCAGGTAGAGGCAACTGCAGATGCAAAGACTCAGAGGAAGGGAGGAGTCTGGCTTATCTGAGGAACTTAAGGAAGAATACCAGAGCTGAGGCATGGGAACAGGGCAAAGAGATGGCAGGAGGCACTGTCAGATGTCAGAATGCACTGGGAAGCTGGTGAGGGGCTTAAAGGGAAGTGGGGCAAGGTCTGGTTTGTACAGATGCTCCATCAGGAAAGAATGGTTTAGGGACCAGCTCAGAAGCCAGTGAAGCATGTTAGACACAAGATGCTGGTGGCCTGGGCTGAACCGCTGGCCACAGGAAATGAAGCAAACGGGACAGATTCTAAATATCTATTGGAAGGAGAAGAAAGTGCCTCGATGATGGCTGGGCTTGGAGTGGGGTGACAGAAGAGAGAATCAAGGGTGGTACAGGCTGCACGGTTTACGGATTCGGTCGTCAGAAACTTTTAACTTGAACATCGTGGTCTGCGATGCCTCTGGAGCAACTAAGCAAAGAACTGGATGTTGTTTTCTGGAGCTGAGAAGAGGTCTCAGCTAGAACTATGGAGTTTGGGGATATCAGCCTGTAATTTTAATTATCTGGAGGTAAACGTGGGGATGGGAAAGAATATTACAGTTACTGAATCAAGTTGCCCATTTTAAAACCTAGCTTTTGTTAAAGCTTTATGTTCAGTTTACAAATCTTGTTATTCCTTTATAAATGTAGTAATTTTTCATATAAAGATAAGAACAATCACTTTCACTTGGTCTTTGATTACTGTTGAATTAATTCTTAAGTTTAGCAGATTCAATCCTCCTTAAACATTTAACAGATTTACAGCTTTAATTAATCAAATTTCCTTAGACATTTCAGATTACAATTACGAATTTAATATGCCTGATTTTCTCAAACACTTTACATGCCCAACAGGGCAGACTTACAAATCTAAAAAGCAAGATCTTTTAAGAACTTAAGTAACTGTTGTGAATTAATTACCTAAAGTTATAAATGTAGCAAAGCAGATTCTCTTGGCCATTTCAACAATCTCTTTTTCTTTTTTCTTTTTTTTAAATTTTTTTAAATATTTTATTTATTTCTGAGAAAGAGACAGCATGAGCAGAGGAGGGTCAGAGAGAGAGACACACACAGAATCTGAATCAGGTTCCAGGCTCTTAGCTGGCTGTGAGCACAGAGCCCGACGCGGGGCTCGAACCCATGAACCATGAGATCATGACCTGAGCCAAAGTCAGATGCTTAACCGAGCCACCCAGGCACCCCACATTTCAACAATCTCAAATTCTACACAAAGCGAAACAAGGATCACAGAACCTTCTCTCTATTTGTTTCTTCATTATCTGACTATTTCATTATGTTTCCTTTCTAGAGTTACAGATTTACTCCCCCAGGAAAAGAATCAGAATTTCTTTTAAAAAAAATTGCCATTTGGAACCAAACTACATAATAACGTGAAGGAGAGCTTATTATAAAATATTCCTTGAAGAAAGACTATAGGATTATATATAAAGGGTAGTTAAAATTAAAAGCATGTGCACCACCCTCCCCACCCCCACAAAAATAGGTATCAGTCTGGGTCCAATTCGGGAGAGAAACCACACAGTAATTTGAACAGAGGAAAGCTAATATAAAGATTTATTAATTACAACAGGGTACAGTAGTAAAAAAGAGTAAAGAGAACTCTAAATACAGGAATAGCAGATAAGGCAGCCACTGGGGGGGGGGCAGGGGGGACAGAGGGGATGCTGAGATAGACAAGCCGTCTAGGAGAAGGCAAAGGCATGGCTCTCCCCTGCTCTAGGGGCAATGCCAGGGGATGCTGGCGCTGAAGAAGCTGTGTGTACCGTAGCAGCCTGGCACTGGATGCAAGTGCCATTTTGAAAAACATCTAAGGGCAAAATATATGTAGGAGAAGTACAGCTCTCATCCATACCAGTCAAATTTGGAGCTAACATCACACACTGCCTTGTACAGATACCCAGCTGTTTTCTGGGTATGTGTCTGAGCTACCCTGCTAGAAGATATTCTCTTTTAGGGCAACGATTATGTTTTATCCTTCTCTTGTGGCCAACCCTGAAATGAGTGTATGTAATATGCTCAATAATTTACTTCTGAATGTATGAACTCTGAGTGAGGCATTCTATTAAACTGTGCCTTTTTTCCCCATTAATTTTCATCCTATGTTTTCCTACTATAAAAGCAATAAGGGGCGCCTGGGTGGCTCAATTGGTTAAGCGTCCGACCTCAGCTCAGGTCACGATATTGTGGTTCATGAGTTTCAGCCCCACGTTGGGTTCTGTCCTGACAGCTCAGAGCCTGGAGCCTGTTGCGGATTCTGTGTCTCCCTCTCTCTCTGCCCCTCCCCTGCTCGTGCTCTGTCTCTCTCTGTCTCAAAAATAAACATTTCTTAAAAATTTTTTAAAAAGCAATAAATGCTTATTGGGGAAAATGCAAAGGCAGACCTTTTGAAAAATATCAACCATATTTCCAATACCCAGAAATAATTGCTATTAGAACATTAGTACTTTGGTATATTTTATATGCACAAATAGTTGATTTTCTTTTTTATTTTTTAACTTATATGTACACACATATCCCATATGCAATTTTAAATCCTGCATTTTTTTTTTGTCTTTATTTTTTATTTTGAGAGACAGAGACAGAGAACAAGCAGGGGAGGGGCAGAAAGAGGGAGACACAGAATCTGAAGGAGGCTCCAGGCTCCAAGCTGTCAGCACAGAGCCCAACACGGGGCTCGAACCCATGAACTGCGAGATCATGACCTGAGCCAGTCAGACGCTTAACCGACTGAGCCACCCAGGTGCCCCTAAATCCTGCATTTTTAAGTTAACATGAATAGAGCACTTCTCCAACCAATCATCAATTCTTTGTTGAAGAGTCAACGATGAATTGTTCTATATAGAAAACATTGGGGCATCTGGGTGGCTCAGTGGGTTAAGTGTCCAACTTTGGCTCAGGTCATGATCTCTCGGTTTGTGAGTATGAGCCCTGCGTTGGGTTCTGTGCTGACAGCTGAGAGCCTGGAGCCTGCTTCGGATTCTGTGTCTCCCTCTCTCTCTGCCCCTCCCCTGCTTATGCTCTGTTTTTCTCTGTCTCAATAATAAATTTTTTAAAAAACATAAAATATATATATAGAAAACATTTACATTGATGTTGAAACTACCTTAAATGCTGAAAAGATCATAAATAACTGCAAAATATCTCATTCTGAAGACGTTAGGTAGTTTACCTAACCACTTCTCTTGTGGAACTTGAGGTTCTTTTTCTATTTTTCTTTTATAAATAATCCTACAATGAACATCGTTGTTTAAATTTTTCTCTGGTGGGCCAATTTCGTGAAATGGCTGTTCTGCATATGAAATTACTAGGCTAGAGGGTACAAATACGTTGAAGGTCACTGAAGAAAATTTAAGATCAGGGGCATCTGCTCCTAAACATGGAAACTGGTAGCTTTCCCTTTTTCATCAGGGCAGAAACTAGAAGCCTCTTCAATGTCAAACCACCTGTACTAACAAAACAGGTTACGCATGCTCACCTAACACTCTCGCCTCCTGAACACTCCCCACCCCGCACTCCCGTCAATGCTACCCATCCCTAAGTGATTGCATTACCGCACGACCCTAGAACCCTGGGCTAGTCCCTTCGGGCCTTTGGCCATCGTTTGTCCCCAAGCTGCACAGCAGAGAGGTGGCCTGACTAGAGGTGCTAAACTAGATTTTCCTAAAGCCCTTCTGAGTGTGTGATGCCCTGGGCACCTAACCCCAAGTTCAAGGGCTTGGTAGCAATCGTGGATAGATCGGGAGGCTTAAAGCAATAGAAGCTACAGTTTACAGAGCTTCAGGGAAGGCTGAAGATACAGCAAGCCTTTCCCCATGCCGAGACTGGCCCTTGATCCTCCACCCCAACCTTTCCTCCCGTCTTCCGCGGTCCCTCTGCTTCCCCGCGGTTCACCCAGTCCATCCTCCAGACCTTATATTGACTTCCGATTCTTCCCAGCCGAGGGGTCACCAAAGCCCCCTCGGGGTCTTCTTCCTCCCTCTCGGCGCCGACCAAGCCAGTCCCAGTCTCCACAGTCTGAGGTGTCCGCCACCCTCCAGCATCCGATTACTTTGCAATACCCGCCATCAGACCCCCCATCATCTCCTCTGCACATCTTTCCACGTATCCGTACCGGCTTGTCCCTCAGTCTTTCCCGCCATGCCTGGCTTTCTGTGCTGTTTCATCCACCCTGTCTCCCATCGGTCTGCGGGTCCTCTGGCCCTGGTCCTTCGGTTTTACCTAATCTGTCCTTCTCATGACAGAACCTCTACCCTCGTCAGGTCCCCCCTCAATGCCCCTCCCTATGTTTGTCCCTCGGCGCCCCCGCCCACGTCTATACTTCTGTACACCCCCAATTGTCCTCCTCCGTTCCAGAATCTGGCCCTCCGTCCAGCCAGGCCCCTGCTCACCATCCCTCCCCGAGCCTGAAGAGTCTGCGGCCCGGTTCCCTCCCGCACCCGGGTAACTCTTCCCTCTTCCACTTTCTCTACTTTGAACCCATCCCAGCAGAGTCCAGGAAGTAGCCAGGCGCCGGGGACTGGCGGCGGAGGCGCCCAATGGAATGAGCCAGCGGCGGCAGTGGCCCCGCCCATAGAGCGAACAAGGCCAATAGTCGTGCGGAGGCGGGACTTCCGCTGTCCCGCGAAGGGCGGGGGAGCGAACTGTTGTGGTGCGGAGCGTTGGGCGGGCGGCGGCCGGGCGGCCCAGGGGCTGCCGCGGGACTCGGGGCGCAGCCGAGCGGCTGCAGGGGTGGGGCGAGCCGGACGCGCCCCGGGGCCCGGGCGCCGCGGGTTCGAGGCCGGGCCCCGCGCGGGGAGGCCGTGCCACCCCGGCGGAGCTGCCCGGCGGCGAGTTTGCCCCGCAGCCGAAAGAAGGCGGGAGCCGGCGGGGGCCCTCGAAACCCCCTGGCAAGCGGGGCCCGGAGTCCCCGGGGAGCGGCTGCTTCCTGGGACGCCTTCCCGGACGCCCCCGCCGAAGGGTAACGGTTCTGGGCCCCCCGCAGAAAGAGCCTCCGGGTGACCCCCGGCGGGGCCCTGCGAGCCGCGGGAGCCGACCCCGGGGCTTCGAGCGGGGAGGAAGGGGCTTTCCGGAGGCGCGGGGCCGGGGTCCGAAGGAGCCGGAGCGCAGCGGAGCGGAGCCGGGCCTCCCGGGCGCGGGGCAGGGCAGCGCCTGGTCTGGAGACGGACTCCGGGACCCTCGGGTGCGGGGGCCTTGGCGACCTGCCCCGCGGGTCGCGCGGCCGCGGAGTGGCCTACTGGGGATCCTCCCGCAGAGGGGCCGGCCCGGGACGGGGAGATGAACGGCTTTAGTACGGAGGAGGACAGCCGCGAAGGGCCCCCTGCCGCCCCCGCCGCCGCCCCGGGCTACGGCCAGAGCTGCTGCCTCATCGAGGACGGCGAGCGCTGCGTCCGGCCCGCGGGCAACGCCTCCTTCAGCAAGAGGGTCCAGAAGAGCATCTCGCAGAAGAAACTCAAGCTGGACATCGACAAGAGCGTGAGTCCACCCCTGCCCTGTCCCCGCCTGGGTCCCCGCGCCCCGCCGCCCTCCGGCCGCTGTCCCCGGCTGAGGACCGGACCTCGGGGCCCTCCCCGTCCTGGGCCTCGCCGCCCTTTATCTGCAAACTGGGTGGGGAGTTGCACTCGGGATTTCAAAGGCCGCTTCAGCGCAGACAGGCTCGGACTGGGATTCTGCCCAAATCCGGGAGATTGGGGGGGCGGGGGAGGAGGGGGGGGACAGGGGAGGGAGCTCCGAGGACCTCTCCTGCCTGGGAAGATTTGACAACAGTTTAGGGCTTGTTGTATTGATTTAGAGCGGGGAGACATGGGTTAATATTGTTGGCCCACGAAGGAGTGTTGGGGAGGGGGCGATAAAGGGACCGGGCTCTTCTTCAACTTCTCTCCCCTCTGAGAACCCTTGTTATTTCTTCAGAGAAGGAAAGGTGGCAGTTACTTCCCCCCTGCCGCGGCCTCGGCTTCTGCAGAGGGTCCCTGAGCTCGCTGCTTTGCATGCAGCTGTGGGGAAATGGGAATTTCAAGGATGTGGCAGAAATCAGGCCAAGACGAGGTCTTGGGAGATGGTGCCTGCAGTCCAAGTGACCGGGAGGAAGAAAATTAATTTTCTTAGGGGAGGGGGCTTCAAGTTTGAATAGAATCGCCCTGTGCTTTGTGCCTCATTTTAGGGAAACTTTTCCTGTGTGGTTTCACCACTTCTAGTTAACAATTCTAAAGATGTGCCTATTGTCAACCAATTAAGAACTTTTTAGTTTGACATCTGTTGCTGCAAGCCTTAAGTGGCTGCCTTGTGATTAGGAATTGGAAATGAGTTAAGGGGGTTTTTAATATTCTGGTAGACCAGCTAAGAGCTCAGGTGGTTTACATCCATGGTCTTTTAGGACCAAAATTCCACTGTTGGGGAAAATCAGAGACGGCTTGTTAAACTGAAAGGGCGCCCACTTTTTCACCTTGGATTTTACAGCTGAAACTGAGGCCTAGAGATAGGAAAGGACAGTGTCAAAGTGTCACAGTGACTGAGAGGCTGGTTAATTTCTTAAACGCATTGTCTGATTTACTTCCAAGCACCATGCATAAGCCTTGATTAAGTGTTAATAAATAAAAAATCTTCCCTGCCCTTTCCTCCAGGCTCTTCCCTCCCACTCCCATTTTCTTTTAACAATTACAATACATATTTGCAACTCTTGAATGGAAAGATGCTATTTTTTAAAAATGGCTGGGAGTGAGTTAATGGCTTTCTTATTACAAATGTCTATTAATGAAGAATAAATGAATGAATGGATGAATGAATGAATGAAGTTCATCTGAGAGCAAACAATTGGCCAGACACTACAGAGGTCCAGACTTGGACACACATTGAAGTGTAATACCTCATTCTAAGGCAACAGTGAATTCATCCTTTTGGAAACACTGCCTACCTTTTATGTAGGTGGTTGGGAGCCTTTACTTGAGCAGCTTATGATAATAATATTTTCCAGTCCTTAAAAAAGAGAAACTTTCAGTTTTTTGAAGCCCTTGGATACCCTGACATCTGAACAATTGTGATGTGGCCGCTGGGGCTCCGTTTACCCAGTGACCCCACTGGAAAAGCCGAGTTGAGCTATGTTGGTGTTTTCACACACACTGTCTACGAGAGGCATCCCGAGCCTGGCAGCAGAGTTCCCCCAGTCACGCTTCTGGATGAGTAGTGTTTCAAGATGGAGTCACTCACAATTTGTTTCAAGGTGGTGGTGGACAATCATTATTTCTGAAGGGGATTCTGTTTCATCCTTACAGGCTTGGGCAGGAATGCAATTCTAAGTAACTGCTGTGTTACAAGAATTTTTAGCTGTTGCAGAAAGTGAAACGGAAAAGAAAAACACGAGAAACTTTGCCACCACCCTCCTTTCTCCACCCCTACCCCCCAAAGGCCATTGAGCTCTGAAGTTTCTGAAAACCACTATGTACTTCAAAATCATTAAGGAGAAATAATGACTGTTTACTTTGTAAAGGGGTCCAGCAGAGAACCTTTTAAAATAATAGCACCGAAAGTCCAACTCAGGCCGTTTAAACTTATTTCATATAGACATTGGCAGTGTTCTATGATCAGTACATAACATGCTTTCAGACGTTCCTCCAATTGACATATTTCTGCTCTATTCTGGAGAAAAGTGAAGTTGAGAACAGTATAAAGGAAATGCTGGGGTAGGAAAGGACCTGTGTGAGGGATCAGAAGGTCTGAGTGACCTTGGCCAGATCATAACTCCATCTGTGTGGCTTCTGTTTATCTCAGTAGAAAATGAGCTCGGGGCCAGTGGGGTTACACGGGTGATTGCTAAGTTCTCTTCCATCCAGGATTCCATTATTCTAGTGTCCTGACCTGAAATCTCCCAGCCACAGCTCAGGAAATCACCTCTGCCACCTGTTCTCCCAAGTGCACTCTACGAATTTGAGGAGCTGCTTAATCTCAGAGTTTACACGTGAAACTAGCTAACATGAAGGCCAGCTTCCTATCAGGGATGGGCAATAGGGTGTGAGGGTGCTTTCTTCCCTGATAAAACCTTGTCCCGTGGTCTGTACATCAACCAGGACGGATTCTTTGGGACAGTGACATGCTGTATCTGAACGTCCCTTGACAGAGTTGACTCTGGCAAAGCTACTCCGGATTTGTAACTATTTGTAACTGGTGGCTTTTGCTGGCCTAAGCTACTTTTAGATGCGAGGGACGGCCTGTGGCGGTGCCACCGCACTTACTGAATACCTGCTGTCTGCAAGACATGGTCACAATATAAACTGAAAAGTACTCATGACCCTCCAACCCAACCACATGAAAGTGATCGTTCATCTGACTAAAAAGCAGTTTTCATTTTTTTTCCCTCTGTGACAAGGCCTGAATTAATTGATTTTGGTTTCCTGTCAGCTTACTTTTCTTGTTAAGAATTTAAGGAATTGGGCACCTGGGTGCCTCAGCCTCTTGCGCATCTGACTTTTGTTTTTGGCTCAGGTCATGATCTCATGGTTCACGAGTTTGAGCCCCGCATCCAGCCTGTTGGGGATTCTCTCCTTCTCTTTCTGCCCCTCCCCTGCTCATGCTCACGTTCTCTCTCTCTCTCTCTCTCTCTCTCTCTCTCTCTCTCTCTCTC